CACTCCCATGTCCATTTCCCACACAAATATAGGGAAGCTCCCTACAATCTTATCGATCCAGATCCAGATGTAGAGGTACAAGCACATGCCACCATGCTTATATTCTGATTCTAGCCTTAGCTCACATCGTTTTGAAATGTTCTCATTCTGGCAAGGGTCATAGCTTCTCTTATCCACATTGCTCAGTCTTTCAGAAACAAAGGAAAGTCATGTTGTGGCTGAATAATTATTAAGAGTAGCTATTAATGTTGATTAACAGAATACAAAAACATTTTTTGGGGGGAAAAAAACAATTCATATCAGTTGGTTGCAAAAAGAAAACAAAGCTAAGAACCATTTATGAATTAGTTTATTGCACTTTAGGCATTAGAAATCAAAACTTCACATTGGTATGATAAAGCATAACAGTTATTCAGGTCATCAGCTCATTAGTAGTGATTCCAAGACCTGGAATGGGTGTGTCAGACAAAGGAGACATTCAAAATGTGCAGGAGGGGCTCCAGGAACGTGGTTGGGAATCACTGGCCTACACTTCTGGGTAATCTTCTGTGCAATGAGAAAATTTAAATTCAAATTTAACACTTCATTCATTAATTTCTTTGAGAAAATGCTTTTGTGAGAAATTGTGTTGCTTACTCGATACGCGCTTTGAAGCTTCAGTGTCATGTAACATCACAAATTCCCACCATATTTCTGATATTATCTATAATATCTGATCTAATGCTAAACAACTATAATACGTTAGCATTCGTTGGCTGGTTAGCTTGTCATTCGCGTTTCTATTTGCGTCTATTGCTGTTTTTTTTCTCGCTCCGTTTCTTTTCTCTCTTGCTCCGTTTTTCACGAGTTCATCAAACAACTGTGGTAAGTTGGAATCATTCATCAATCACGGTGAGTAATGGCTTCTTCTCCTGCTATTGTTATTTGCACCGCTTGCCACATGTACAATTTAGCTCTCTCTGTCGGCGATGAGGGATTCACATGTGATAAATGCAGGGAAATAGTTAGGCTGACAGAGAAGATTTCAGAATTAGAGACAAGCATCCAAACTTTAATTGAAGATAGTAAGAATGTGAGGGCTGTATATATGGCTTTGGATGCGTCCAGCTCAGGGAGTCCTGTACATTGTTCGGTTCCGGTTACAGAGCCCATGCAGCAGGGCGACTGGGTGACTGTGAGGCAGCATAGTCACGGGTCAAAACACCGCTCTTCCGTTCCGATCAAAACATTAAAAAGATTTTCCCCACTCAGTGACGCACCCACTGAGAAACCTAATGAAAGTGCTCTAGTTATTGACAATTCTATTGTACAGAACGTGAAAATAGAGATACCAGCCACCATAGTCCAATGTTTACCAGGAGCCAGAGCGCCTGACATCTTGGCAAATTTAAAAGTGCTGGCTAATGCTCAACGTAAATTCAGTAAGATTGATGTTAGCGCTAATGATGTTCGACTTCGCCAGTCGGAGATAACTAAAAATAACATTAAAGAGGTGTGTGAACTTGCAATTAAGATGTCAGACACTGTAATATGCTCTGGTCCCCTCCCTGCTTACCGTGGTGATTAGATATATGGGGAGTCATACGGGGAGTCACTCAATGGCTGGATGTCTAAGTGGTGCCCGCAGAATAACATAGGTTTCATAGACAATTGGACGAGTTTTTGGGGCAGACCTGACCTGTTGAAAAGAGATGGTCTTCATCCCTCCTGGGGTGGTGCTGCTGCTCTTCTCTCTAGAAATATGGCACAGTCTTAGAGTTTGCACTTGACTAACTGGGACCCAGGTTAGGAAGCAGACAGACTGGCTAAACTGACTGTATGCTAGCCGCCTCACGTCACAGTTCATTCTCAGCACATAGACTCTTTCACCTAGATATCACACTATAGAACTGTGTCTGTTCACCGAACTAGAAAATACAAAAAACATCTAAACCAATTTAAGAGTAACAATTTAACTGATGTTCAACAAATAAAAAAATTATATAATAAAGAGAAACAAATGATAAAGCTTGGCTTATTGAATATCACTGATCATAACCTAGATGTGCTCTGTTTGACAGAAACCTGGCTAAAACAAGATGATTACATTATTTTAAACGAGTCTACCCCCCAAGATTACTGTTATAAACATGAGCCGCGTCCAAAAGGTAAAGGGGGAGGTGTTGCTTCAATTTATAACAATATTTTCAGTATTTCTCAGAGGGCAGGCTTCAAGTATAACTCGTTTGAAGTAATGGTGCTTCATTTAACATTATCCAGAGAAACAAGTGTTAATGATAAATCCCCTGTGATGTTTGTACTGGCTACTGTATACAGGCCACCAGGGCACCATATAGACTTTATTAAAGAATTTGCTGATTTTCTATCAGAGTTAGTGCTGGCTGCAGATAAAGTCTTAACTGTTGGTGATTTTAATATCCATGTTGATAATGATAAAAATGCATTGGGATCAGCATTTCTAGACATTCTGATCTCTAATGGGTTAGACAACCCGTTCCAGGTCCTACTCATTGTCAAAATCATACTCTAGATTTAATACTGTCACATGGAATTGATGTTAACGGTGTTGAAATTTTGCAGCAAAGCGATGATATCTCAGATCATTATCTAGTCTTGTGTAAACTCCATATAGCTAAAACTGTAAATTCTACTCCTTGTAACAAGTATGGTAGAACCATCACTTCTACCACTTAAGACTGCTTTGTAAGTAATCTTCCTGATTTAGCTCAATTCCTCAGCATATCCAATTGCTCAGAAAAACTTAATGATGTAACAGAAACTTTGGACTCTCTCTTTTCTAGCATTTTAGGCTCAGTTGCTTCATTACGCTTAAGGAAGATTAAGGAAAACGGTTTGCACACTCGAGCCCTAAAGAGAGCTGCCCGAAAAATGGAGCGCAGCTGGAGGAAAACAAAACTAGAGATATTTCGTGCTGCATGGTGGGAAAGTACCCTATCCTACAGAAAAGCATTAAAAACTGCTAGATCTGATTACTTTTCATCTCTTTTAGAAGAAAACAAACATAACACCAGGTATTTATTCAATATAGTGGCTAAATTAATGAAAAATATTAGCATCAACATGCATTGACATTTCCCAACAGAACAGCAGTAATGACTTTATGAACTACTTTAATTCCAAGATCGATACTATTAGAGATAAAATTGTAACCATTCAGCCGTCAGCTACAGTATCGCATCAGCGCTATAGATCCCCTGAGGAACAATTCCACTCATTCTCTACTATAGGAGAGGAAGAATTTTATAAACTTAAATCTAAACCATGTTAGACCCTATTCCATCTAAGCTCCTAAAAGAGGTGATTCCAGAAGTCATAGATTCTCTTCTGACTATTATTAATTCGGCATTGTCAACTTGACCCCAAAGATCTAGTTAATTACAGACCGATCTCGAATCTCCCTTTTCTGTCAAAGATACTAGAAAAGGTAGTATCCTCACAATTATATTCCTTCTTAGGGAAAAACGGTATCTGTGAGGATTTACAGTCAGGATTTACACCGTATCATAGTACTGAGACTGCTCTCATTAGAGTTACAAATGACCTGCTCTTATCATCTGATCATGGTTGCATCTCTCTATTAGTGCTACTGGATCTTAGTGCTGCGTTCGACACTATCGACCACAATATTCTTTTGAATAGACTAGAAAACTTTGTTGATATTAGTGGAAGTGCATTAGCATGGTTCAAATCGTACTTATCTGACCGCCATCAGTTCGTAGCAGTGAAAGACGAGATATCATATCGATCACAAGTGCAGTATGGAGTACCTCAAGGCTCAGTACTAGGGCCGTTACTCTTCACGCTTTACATGTTACCCTTGGGAGATATCATCAGGAAACACGGTGTTGGCTTTCACTGTTATGCTGATGTCACTCAGCTCTATATTTCTTTGCGGCCCGGCAAAACATACCAATTTGAAAACGGAATGCATAGTCGATATAAAAAACTGGATGAGTAATTTCTTACTGATGGATTCTTACATAAAACCTCATAAAACCTCTGCATGTAATAATCTAGAACAGTGGTTCTCAAACCTCTCCATGGTGTCCCCAGCGCTGCACATTTTGTATGTCTCCCTCTATCTGACACACCCACTTCAGGTCTTGCAGTCTCCACTAATGAGGTGATGAGTTGAATCAGGTGTGGTATTTGAGAAAGACATACAAAATAGACCTTGTCTCCTAGACGGCCATCGGGACAAGACCACAGGAACCAGATGAGCCCTCTGCAAAATCTAACTTTGCTGCAGCAAGGTACAACCTGCTGGTTTGTTTCATCTGGCCAGAGGAGGATTGGCCCCCTGACTGAGCCTCGTTTCTCCCAAGGTTTTTTCTTCATTCTGTCACCGATGGAGTTTTGGTTCGTTGCCGCTGTCGCCTCTGGCTTGCTTAGCTGGGTACACTTAATTTCCAGCAATATCGTCGACTTGATTGCACAGATACTATTTAAACTGAACTGAGCTGGACGATGACATTCAATGTCTGAATTCAATGATGAACTGCCTTTAACTGAAAATTGAGTCTTTACTATTGTCCTTTTGCATTGACACACAATTTTTTTCCTATTTGCTACTGTAAAGCTGCTTTGACACACTCTGTATTGTAAAAAGCGCAATATAAATAAAGGTGACTTGACTTGACATTCATGTTCAGATTTTCATCGCGACAGACATAATAGATTTAGAATTGTGCAGGAGCAATTTTTGCCCCCTTGAAGGCACTTTTGTCCCAAGACCCTGGCTTCCATATAGAGTTAATATTGTGTTACATACTATTAAAAAAACAAAAACATAGGCAGTATATTAGTATATACAATGCAGTACTACAGCACAGCGTGCTAATAATTAATTCTGAACAAAGCCTATATTTTTATAATAGCCCTTCACAATGTGCTGTTGCACACACAGATTTTGTTTATGGGACGTTATGAATATACGACATCCCTTCTTGCTCATTATCATCATCAATTTGCCATCTTACCTAAAATCCACTGTTCAGAAAGACTGCAGCTCCCCTCTGTTTTTTTGCCATTATACTGTCCAATAAAGATTCCAGCCTGTCGCACACTCCGGCATACAGTTCCTCCACAAAGCTGAATGAGTTCTGTCAGGCTGTTGCAGGGGGGCTGGGAGTGTGGGGACACAAACATGGGCCGCTGATGCTGGAACAGATCCTGCTGATGTTCCCCAGCAGACAGATGCTGCTGCAGACGGCATATCTGCAAGAAGAGAGAAAATCTTATAACAACTCATGTTCTTTTACTAAATATTATGGGTACCATGAGCAGAGTCCATACATCAGGGGTCTCAATCAAATAAATGTTATGGGGCCATTTCAAAGTTAAAGGGTTAGCTCACGCAAAAATGAAAATTTACTGTTAATTTACATTTAATTTACATGTACCTCAGTACATCCAAGATGTGGGTGATTTTTTCTCTTCAATAGTACAGCAAAGAAGATTTTTAGTTGAAACCTTGAGAATTTAAGTAGAAATATTAATGTAACTGTAACTTTATTATTGTAAAAACTTCATTAATATTAACCTTCAATATTATAGTAATGTTGTACCAACTGACTCATGTATATTTTACAGCTTTAATTGAGAGATTTTTTTTTCTTGAGAAAATTTGGCATGTACTGTACCCTGATATATATCCAAAATAATCGATATAGAATCGAATCGGTAATCGAATCGAAAGCTTGTGAATGGGAATTTAATCGAATCGTGAAATTTGTGTCAAAAGCACAACCTTTTAGACCAGATGCAGCAGTTGCAGGTGATGCCACAGGCGGCTTTTGTCGCCGCAAGGTCTCTGGCATTGGCTTGGGGTGTGAGGGCTCTCAAAGAGACGGTAGCTGTTGACCAGCTAAAAATCTTCTTGACTCTTATACTTCAGAAAAAAGTAGGGGTTTAAAAGTGTTGACTAACTGAAGACCTCTAAGTTGAAGGTTCGTTAACAGGAGCAGAGGTAAAAAGTTCAAAACTGAAGGAATGCAGGATCTCAAGAAAAATGTAACATCAATATTAGGGGTGGGAATCACCAGAGGCCCCGCAGTAGTTTTATCACAATACTTATGCCACAATACGATATTATGATTTTAAACATTTTGTGGCATGACTGATGATACACGGGGCAACTTTTTGAGCAATGTTTGGGCAATATTGCTGTTAACGGGCAAGACACATGACCGATCTAAAGTATCCAGATAGAAGTTTGTTACCCTTTCTCAGTGGGAAAGTGCCCAAGCAACATTACTCAAAAAAAGTTACCCAGCAAATTTTCCCTGTGTCTCACCTGGTTGCCCGTTGATGCCAACATTAACCAAAGTTGCCCAGCAATATTGCTCAAAAAGTTCAGCTCCGTGTATCATCAGCCTAAAAGTTGCAATATTACTGTGATTAGACTTGTGCCGGTATTCGGTAATGCGATATATTACGGTAATGAATATGCACGATATTGTTAGCGTGGGCACTTCTAAATACCGTGAATAATTATATATTACAAATTATTCAGAATTTCTGATGCATTTTAAGAATACTTTTCCCATCAACTGCTCAAAATGCATAACACCGCTGTATACTGCATGAAAGACACATGCGCACTCTGATGTAAATAAGCGCGGACGAGAAGCGCATGGCGGAACATGTGAGAGACACTCTGGATGAAAGCGCACTTTCACTCTCTGACAGCTGATGGCACTAAACTGCAGAAATGCAGCCGTTACCCCGGAAACCTTGTAAATAAAGCAGCTGCACTACTTTCTGTTTCTGAATCCTGTTTAAATTATTTAAACAGCCATTCAAATTTGTGTATTTGCTATGATGTTTATCACAGCGCCAAATACTTAAATATTGAGACTTAATAGGCTATTTATTTTCAAACTTTTTTTAACATTTTAATCTGGACTACAACATGCCCTAGATATTGTTTGAAAGTGTTTTGATTCTTTATTGTTCGGTCACACTTTACATTAGGGCTTCATTACTTAATATTATTTAATTAATTAGTTAACATAAACTGCCAATGAAAAATTATTCTGAACATTCATTAATCTTAGGTATTCCAATATTTAATAACACGTTGTTAAAATCGAAAGTTGCAACTGTTATTTAATGAGCTAACATGAACTAAGACTTGTATTTTTTTTAACAAAAATTAATAACTTCTGTAGCAAATGTAGCTATTGCTCATTGTGAAAGTTAATGCATTAACTAAGGTTAACTAATGAGGTCCTATTGTAAAGGGTTCTTTTGCACTTTAATCTGTGTAAAAATTTTAACTTTATAATTTTTTCTGTATTGCTTTATTGAATTTAAATGTTCAGTTATTTTTGTTATAAGAAAAAAGTTATTAAACCTGTTATACTGTATTATGACAGCACTTTTTAAAAAAACTATTTCAATATTGTGATAATACTGTATACCGTAATAAAAGCATTAGCAATTAATCGCAACATGAAAATTTTATACCGGCATATCCCTAACTGTGATATATTGATTTATTTATTTTTTTTTTCAACTGCAGAATGTTCCTAAAGGACAGCTTTATCCGCACCTTTTTATCTAATAAGATTAAGTTCTAAGTCTGTTTATGTTACTTAATTTAACTTACAAACAGCTTGAAAGCTAGATGGTGCTATGAGGTCATTTTCATTGCACAACGGTCTACACACGGTAAAAAGGCATTTGATTTCAAACTTTTAAATTAATTTAACTAAAAATGAAACTGGTAAAACAAAAGTGCAGTCAGATTAAATTGTGTTCCGCAAATCACAAACAGACCAAACTAATTTTTTCACTTTTTAGGGACTGATTATACTGATCTATACTGATTATAGTCAGGCTGATGATACATGGGGCAACTTTTTGAGCAATGTTGCCAGGCAACTTCAGGCAAATGTTGCCATCAACGGGCAACCAGGTGAGACACAAGGCCTACAACCGATCTAAATTATTCAGATAAAAATTTGTTACCCATTCTCAATAGCAATGTGCCTAAGCAACATTGCTCAAAAAAAGTTGCCCCGTGTATCATCAGCCTTAGATTGTTTTTTGGTTCACTGTGTTAATATTTTACAAACTTTAGATGTATGCTGTGCATCAGGTGATTGTCTGTCAAATAGAAGGTATTGTCTTCTGTCAGTCGATAAACTCATAGATAAATGGAGGAATACAAATATAAATGATAGAGTATACACATGGAGCAATGAAGATTCATCTAGACTTTCACAAATTGATTATTGGTTAGTCTCTAAAAATCTTGATAGAGATACAGTATCTGTGTTGATACAATGGCCATTTCATCAATGGTTCATAAGGCTAATCATCAATCATCACTTATTAATTTCTACTTTCTCCTGAAGCTATAAAATAAAATAAAATTAAATAAAAACTATTCTGTCACTAACCTTTTTTGGCATTTTATAATTCAGAAGGATGCACACAATAGGCACTTTTGGGACCATTATGTGCCCTTTTACTGAGCTTACACTGATGTAAACTATACAGCAATTGTGACAGGACCACTGTGCTGATTTATTTAATAACAACATACAACGTTGCACTTTAAAAATAAACAAATGGGGGATAAATTACTTCTGGAATATCTACCACTGCAGTGGAAATATGTTTAACTAATCTAATAATTCATGCTTTAAAGGGTTAAAACGGTTTCTGATCTAATGTTTCAATTAAAAAAAAAATTTTCTTAAAAATGTGAGTAGGTCTCTAGTGTAATACAAAGAAAGAAAGAAAAAAAACCGGCCCAAAACTGTAAATGACAAACCCTTTCATCAGAATAAAAGGGACCGAGCTTTTGCATGCTGTAAACTCCGTTTAAGAAAAATAAGGATATTGTGTAATTTCCTTCCTCCTGCAACTTCCTTATGACATTAAATGAACAACACAAACAGGAGCCCTCCCACGCAATGTAATGTGGAGATATGATTCAGCCCCTGCACCTGAGCGATGACAGGCCTTCCTTTGCATTTTCTGCTCTGATTTTGGGGGGGAAATTTAATGGAATTAATTAAAAATGTGGCAGTGTGTTACTGATAGATGAAAGCATTATCATACTGACCTATGAAGTATTTAATAAAACACTAAACAAAACAAAAACAAACAACAACAAAAACAATTACATTTTACTCAAAGCTCTTCTGGATTACCTTGCCATGAAAAAGCACCAGACGTGTTTTTTGTTTTTTTAGTAAATTCTCTTTTTGGACTGAGGAGGACATTTTAAGTTTTGGAAATTTGTTTCCCAACCCTGTTCCTGGAGATGTCTTTGATAATGTTTGAAAATGTGTACTGTTGGTGCACCTCCAAGAACAGGGTTGAGAAACATGTTAAAGTACACCATACGTAAGCTTTTAAACTTAAAATAATAAACAGAGAATAGCATTTAATTCATTATGATATGACAACTTTAAATAATATACAAGTTTAACATTTGATACACTGATTTGTCAAAAGTGGAATAAAAAAATTGTTCAGGTACATTTCCAGTGAAAACTGTGACGCACTCTAGACCGAAAAGAAGCTTTGATCATCATCATAAAGCAATGTTCTCTCAGGTGTTAATGGAAGTGACGACAAGAACTTGATATCCAAGCAGGAGACACCCAAGGGGTTAAAAGACAAAACATCCTCTGAGCGGAATTATTTCCTCCCTCAACACCTGCCTTCCCCTTCCTCCATGTCAGCTTTTCAGGCCAATATTCTGTGATCATCTGAAATGAGGAAATGCTATGACAAACTGGCCTAATAGTATTCTATTTTTACATTTCCAATACTAATGCAGAATCAGACTTCAATTTAAATTTAATATAGGCTGACTGTAATTTTGAAAACCTTACAACTAACCATAAGTCATTACTTTAACACCTTTTACAAAGCAATGCCGACGATTAATACAAAATGTTTTATTACAAATCATATTAACAACATAATCTGAGCAACAAGTTAACCTGAAAAACTGACATCAATTAAAACATTTCTACAGAATTGGAGGATGTTTTACCTGTCTTCGTTTTATATTTAAAAAAAACCCTAAAACCTCCTTTCCAGTTTTCAATGACGAAATTGTCAGACTTCTGGATCCCACTGTACTCGAGATCTAGGGCAGGAAATTATGGTCTAGAAATGATAGTGTGAGTGACAACAGAAAGACCAACCTCTTTATCTCTCTTTAAACATTCAGGGGGACCAGAGCTTTG